AGAGCCATACCATTATGAGTATATATATCATCACTTTATATATATGTGTGTGTGTGTATGAATATATATGATCATTTTATCTCATGATGTGTTTTGTGAGAGTGAAAACTTGGATGACCCAGGTTGAAAACGGCTAACACATGAAGATAGAGATTTGAATTCTCCAAAGCTACGAGTTTATGAATTATTACCTCCGATTCTTAATATAAGACCTTATTTGATTTTTATTTTGGTCCTCAATATAAGACCCTAATCCATTTTGTCTCTCATATTTTTTTTTCAAGATAATCTTTTTAACAATGATAGTTCTAACCAATACACTTGCTTAGCAAAAATATTTTAGGAAAGGAAACACCTATTTGTTACAAATAACTAACTTAACTTCTTTTTTTAATTCCTTCAAATTAGTCAACTACCTCTTATAATTAGGACTCGAGGTAGTATTTCTTAAAAACGAATGGTAAAAGATTAAATGGGCAAAAAAAAAAAACTCTATATTTAAGTCTCACACCCTCTCTTTCTGGATCTGACATTTAAAGACTTTAACATGACAGAACCTGAATCTAAACATGGCATGTTTCATTGAGATTCCATGCTTCCAAGTTTCAACGACACTCCCAAGAAGCTGAGAAAGGAAAAAAAAAGAACAAGAGGGCAGTGCAAACGCAGAGAAGAGGGACCAGTATGATTATTTTTAAGAATAGAAGTAGTGAAGGAAGCAAGAAAAGATAGAGAAAGTGTCGTTTATGGTTCAAATACCTGAACAGCTTTGGATTGCTTTTTTGACTTTGAGAGAGAGTTGAGGACGCAGGTACCCACCGTCGTTTATGGGTCCCCATGTGGCAGAGTGCCCACGCCCTTCACAAACTAAATTAAGATACATGGAGAGCCACCCTTTAATTACCATATTCAACTTCCATGTCAAGTAGTTATATATAATAATCATAACACAACAAACAATACCTGTCTTAATTAGGGCACTCTCATTAGTGCAACTCCACCAAACTTTTCGCCCTTGCCTCTTCAAACAAACACACCCTCATCAGCTACAACAAAGCCCTGTTCACATCAATATCTCGGAGATCATGTAATTAATGACGCTCAAAAGCATTTGAATTTAATATATACTGCCTCCAGTCTTTAACATAAGACTTCGTTTCACTTTTATTTTGATTCTAAATATGAGACCCCAATTCACTTTGTCTCTCATATTTATGTATATTTTTTTAAGGTAGTCTTTTTAATGATGGTGGTGTTAGCCAATATACTTGATTGGCAAGAATATTTTAAGAAAAATAAAATTTATTGATTACAAATAACTAATTTAATTTATTTTTTTTAATGTACTCAAATTAGCAAACTGGTTCTTAAATTTAGCAATGGAGGTAGTATATGCTAATTAATCCTATAACAAAATCACATTCAAACAATACCAAGTTAGCGGCTATTTGGTATATATACTGTTTCCTTTATCATCTTTATATAACACTACGCTTTAAAATGATGTGAACTTCTTTTTATCTTTCTGGGCGTTAAAACAAGACCTTGACTTCGTCAATTCTTACAGAATAGGAATTATATTCTTTTTATGACAGCCGTTAATTATTTATTTATGATGCTCTCTATATTTATGTGCCAATACATGTGCGTTTTTTTTTTTTAAAAAAAGTGAGATCATAACATACATATCAAATCCCTTAAAGACTAAGATTCTCTCTGAGTAGTCAAGTTTTCAATTATTTATGATGCTTTCAAGAAATTTTAGGGGTAGACCAATTGACTGGATCATTATACACTAGACTAGGCATCATCTCATTTCGGACTAACAACAATATAATGGCCAATATTTTATATATATATATATATATATATTGCGTGTGTGTGTGTGTGTCTCATAAACCATTTGCATATAAATTAATAAAACCATTTTAGAGAAGAAGGATAAGGTTATGGAGATGATGATGAGAGAAGAATTGATGAATTGGAAGTGGTTGTCGACTTCATCTCGCGTAGTTTTGCCGACAGATTTCATTCGCTAACTGAAGCTTCTGTGGGTCCCCTCTGAATAGCAGCATTTGTTTAAACATGGTTGCCACTACCGTCCGTCCATACACATTATAAAACCAGGCATCAAACATTAAACAATTAGACCAATTAATTTGAGAGAATAAAAATAAATACCCATATGTTCAATCCATCGCATGAAACAAAACATGCCCATCATCAACCTGAATATATAGTTTTTAACAAATAATGACGTTACAGGGCCTGATGTTTTGAAGTTAAACTAGCTAGTATGAAACTGGTTTCTTGTCTTTGACAGAATCAACCAGAGGAAAAGAATCAACAAGAGTTTCCACCATCAACGCCTAGTTTTAGAAAGTGGAACAAATTAAGAATCATAATCTCGATCGCCAACTTTGCGTATAGTTGTCTATCATCAACCTCGTTTTCTGTGATTCTTGAGCAGTAATTATAGCAGTAGCAGCCTGTCAGATTCTTCCCAAATAAAAAGACAAGCAGTTGTAACCTGATCGATCAAATTTGCATGAAACTGTTGTAAAGAAGGTCAAATAGTTATTATTATCATCGATCAAGAGCCATATTTGAGTCTTGAATGACAAACATTACTAAAAATTGTACATGGAAGGGGAGAGCTGATATAGAATATGAAGAAGCGGAAGTAAGAGATCCAAGATGAGGACTGTGAATCATATATATGTTTGCCTTCTAAATATGAAAAATCGAAGGAAGAATTTTTTTTTTTTTTTAAAGGATTGGCCACTATTTACAACCATCCTTGGTAATAGTGTTTCCATCCCAATTTTCAAATGAAAATATCGCATCAAGGACTAACATAAATAAGTTTTCATTCACGAAATATTTTGCTTCCAAACTATCAAGAAGTAATCAATAGTAAAATCAGAATAATTGTTGTCTGTATTAATAAAATGCTCACTAGTTTTCTAACCATTCATGTTTTTGGAATTTAATGGCCTTTGGTACAGTATTTGAATCTGTGTATCAGGAAGACCTCAAGTAAAACGAGCAAAACAAACAAAACGAACAAAATAACGAGGGAGAATAATCATTGTATATTCATATATTATTGACCATACGGTGAAGAATTACAGCTTTTATATGGACTTTTCTAAAAGGATAAGTATGAGTGCAGTGTAGACACGTGTCATGGCGAAGCATAAAATATCTAGAGAATGTGGGCTTGGGCTGCTTATGAACTATCGTGGGCTTTGTTGGGCTGATCTACTGGGGGTAACACTATGATAAGTGGTTGAGAACTTGACCTTTGCCGTCATTGTACTTCTTCATTAAATTGAATTTTAGCACAGCTGGATTGGGCCTACTTATTCCTCAGGCCCAGAAAACCATGATGCTTCAAAATCATGAATTCCCATCTCTTGAATCCAAACGACGTCGTTTTTCGGGATGACTCCTCGGTATCCTCTGCGCAAGCGCTTGCATATATGCCGTCTGATACTTCAAAATCAGCAATAAGTGCCGGAGCTTAAGTACAACAATAAGCATAAACCATGCAGTTAGAGCGCATTTGACAATTAAAAACGACAACCCATTAACAACAGTTTAGCTAAAGCTCTCTAAGAACAAATAAATATGGGTAGAGGGGAAAATTTTAAGATGCACACGTTTAGGTGGCATATTGTTTCAGTACGTAGTTTGCTAGATACTGGGTGCTATTATAAACCCCCGAAGCATGTCGTATGCTTCTGCTTCAGCAGACTGCTAAGACGACACCCTATCTGTTGTCGTTTCTTTGTTTAATGCACCTTCTCCCAAGAGTTTAGAATTTGGGCCTCTTTGGTATACTGAAGCAATGAAGCCCGTTAATCCCATTTGGGCTTTTCTCATTTCAATTGGGCCTTGGAATTTCAGCGCAAGCAGTGACGTTTGATTGAGACCCATCGATTGCAGTTTGACAATGGGCCCATATACAACTAGAATCTTGGGCTGTAGTTTTATTTTAGGAAGCGTGAAATATTCAATGGAAGATGATCTAATTGATAATTTTGAAATAAATGTTTCGAAATGAATTTCAATTGAACTCCCGTAAAAAGAAAAAGAAGAGGACTTTGATTGAAATTCAAATAGAACAGAAGGATAAATGGGATTTACAGGTGTAAAATATCCACAGACATAAACATTGAAATAAATTCTCATGATTTGCCCGTCTAATATATACAAGCATAAAAGTCGCTAGCTTGCTGGTAAAAATAAATAAAAGTAGCCAGCTAGTGTAGTCTATGTTATTTGTTAAATATTACTTCTGGTCTTAAATATAAAAGCTAGTTGACTAATTTAAGGAGATCAATAAAATAAGTTAAGTTAGTTATTTGTAATAAATAAGTGTTGCTTTCCTAAAATATTCTTACTAATTAAGTGTATTGGCTAGAATTACCATTATTATAAGGACTATCTTAAAAAAAAGATACACAAATATAAGAGACAAAGTAGATTGTGGTCTTATATTTAGGACAAAAAATAAATCAAATGAGATTTTATATTAAGAATCGGATATAGTAAAATGTACCATTGGATCTAAATATCTAACAAGAGGTTACAAGTCGAGGTCTAATGACAAGACAAACACTTTCTTTACATTTTTCTTAAACGTAAAATTGTGATTTTGAATTTTCTGCGAAGAGTATAATAGATGTATGAGTTATACATAACGCGTTTTGTTTTAAATTTGTGTAATTGCAAATGGATAGCTAGTGAAATGAATTCTTATTGTCTTTTATCGAATCCAAATTAAAGATATTGTTAGTTAGGTGAAATTTAATAAAGTATTATATTTAATCCTTAATATAATATTTATAGTTCAATTTGAACGTTCTGAATGATAATTAGATTTCATATTAAGAACGGGAAGTAAGTAGTGAAACCGAAATATGGCAGGGACTTTAGTTTTATTCAAAAATTTCATCATATCAGTATATGAATGAGTGGACAACAACATGGAGTTAATCAAGCCAATTTGACATAAAAGAACAGTGATTCCAAACTTGACGGTTGCTTTCTTTGATGGCCGAAGCATTAGCCTTGAAGGCAGGAGAATGAAGAACAAGGGTGAGCAAATTATCAAAGCAACTTTTGCCGACATCCTTAACCAAGTTGTAACAGCACTGATTAGTCATGGTCGCATTCTTAAAGACCACAGCATCATACGCCAGAGGCCCACATTTCTTGAATTTCTTGGAACACTGTCGCAAGTATTCATGAAATTTAGGATCTTGTTCTGGTGATAATGCAGCAGCAGCAGCAGAAGAAGAAGAAGAAGAAGGTGCCTCCGATGAAACTACTCCAGGTGTGGCCCACAATACACTTACACCAACGAATAAGATTGCCATTGCAAACACGTATTTTGCTGCTGCCATTGTATCTATATTTCTCGACGATATTTAAGATAAGGAAGAGAGAGAGAGAGAGAGAGAGAGTGTATGATGTATTGTTGGTTGATATGTAGAGATAAAAATGATGTTGTGAAGTGTGTCTATATATATATATATATATATATATATATATATATATAGGGTTATAATCGAAACGATAACAAAAACCGTTTTTTTCAGAAAACTTATAGACGAATATAACATGTTACTACAAGCTGATATAACATCTGATAAAGGAACATATGATATCGTATTTATGTCGGTAACTGATAACATGATGATAAAGAAACTTTCATTCTATAGGAAACTTAGATTAGATTGTCTGAAGTTTCGCAAAATAGAATTACTGTTGACTAATTAAGTAGAGATCTCAGATAAGGTGAAAGATACAGAAGAAGCGTTGAAGTTGGACGCAGACAATCTTTTTCTTTAAAGAAAATTAGAAGTATGAGAATAGAAGCATGACCTGTACGCATGGTATTGGGAGTCAAATTTTTGTATTGCAAAAACTTGGTAATATAACAGAGAATTCTAAAAAAATAATTACACAAACAACTAAAAAGTAGACACACACCAAGCCTTGATTAGAGCTATAGGCATGTTGTTAATTAAACGTCAAGTGACGACCAGGTTGGCAGAAATTAATTAAAGGGTCATATTCACACCATATATATCGTAGTAATGTGCGTGGCAATGAATAATGGAGTGCTTGGTTTAGGTGTGTCTTTTGGAGGTTGGTCCCTTCTTCTTTATGGTTTTTCAAATGCTTGAAAAGTACCCTTTCATTTGCTTTCCCCTTTCTTTAATTAATTTTATATAACCTCTTCATTAACAACGCAAGTTGCCCTAATCAATTCCACGCACAAGGACAAGAGACCATAATCCCACTTCCATCATATCCAAAATACTATTTACTATCGCATTGCGTCATAGCTCCACACTGTCCTCTAAGTCCCTGTTTGGCATGAAGCATTAGCAAGTAGAGATTGGGATTAAAATTAAGAAAAGTCAATAAAAGAGTGTTTGTTACAGGGAATTACATATTACTTAGGATTGGACAAAGTGACAAACCTATAAAAATAGGATTGAGAAATACTATGAGAGGAGATGATATTAAAAATTTAACGCTTATATTGAAATTTCTTAGACCAAATTCCCTCCCATCCCTTCAAATAAAAAGGCCTTTTTTAAACAAGATTGTTATAGTCTTTTTACAATTTATAATTAATTTAAAAATAAAATTAATGCAATCATCCCCTCTAAATATTTCATACCAAACATAATTTTTAAGCTCAATCGCACTCTTAGTCCTACTTTCACACCCAATCTCATTCACATTCCCGATCCATCAAAATTGAGACCACATAAACAAACATGGCTTTATCTCTTTTAACTTTACTCCTTCTTTTCTCATGATAATCGATATCTTTAGATACATAATTTTTATTGTGAATAGAGCTGGAGCCACCTAGGCATGTTGATTTGAATTAAGAAATTGATAAAAGTCTATCTTACTTCTTCGCTTGTTAAACCCTATAAATTGCAAATGAATAGTTGTGACAAAATGGCCACACAAATGTATTAATTTATTACTCGATCTAGACAGGTCCAGATTCTCTTGGTGATAGAATTAATATGCTGCGGGGCAGATTTATGAATCATTATTTGGTCCAACTTTAATGATTAAAAAAAAGGTTGAAATCGTGAAGGGATTGGAGCTAACATGGGAGTAAGGTTAAAACGCAAGCAGCTAGTAAAATAAAACTGGGAATTGATGTAATAGAATGTCTTAATCATAAACAGTGCCTTTGAAAATATAATCAAGTTCTTGCACGCTAATTGATGATAGTGTTAATTATATTGTTGATTCTTATCCTGAATCTCACATAATAATTAAAGTAATTTTAAAAGCTGGCTAGCACCTGACCCAACTCCTGCTCTTATTTTCAAGAAATTACAACTCATTTCTACTTAATATGGCAAATAATATCCAAGAACATAACGACACACACTGGATGATTAGGACCAAATCAACTTGCATTTGACCTCAATTACGTATGTACGATGATTAATTAATTTCTAAACGCTTAATTCCTTAATATTGATCAATAAAGTCATGACCATTGACTTGAAACCAGCTGCAGCAAATCATGGCTCAATTTGAAAACTAAAATCCCATATCTGCGCGTGTTTATGGGCTGCCTAACTGTAACTTTCAAGTTTCAAAACAATCAGTGGAATATTATTTTCTTGTGTGATTTGATATGTGAAAAATATATATTACATCCAATTTATGTTTGAGAAGTGTTAAAAAAAATTTATTAACTACCATATCAATTTTCAAATTCGCGTCAAGCCGATAATTTAAGTAGATTTTATTTCAATTTTCGAGTAATTAAACTTTTCTAACTTCAATCTCTTGATGAATTCATGTTTCATAATTGAAGTAATTTTTTAGATTTTAAATATTTTTTGAAGAATTAAATTAGAAAGAAGGGCACGTATCCTCAAGCATCTGATCCAAAGGTACCTAATCGTTTTCATTTAGTGAATAACAATGTGCCTGGCCAACTACAAACCCTATAATCCAAACAAATAAAATTGTCAGTATATATAATTGAATCCACACAATTATTAGAGAGGCCGTTAATCATTGACTCCATATATCCAATATCACGTGTGACATTAAGAAAATTAAGGCACAATTGCTAATTAGGTGAAGTGACACATCAAAAACCATCACACCAAAATTAAACTAACTAAATGGCGTCCCCCCTCAATATATATACTTTCTTCCATCTAATTATCAAATTTCTTCCACTTTACCAACCTTTGGACAAATATGTTCTCAAATTTTTGAAGTTTTCTTGAAGTAGTACACCACAAAATTAATTGGTTGGACTGACGTTCAATAACTTTTTTTTGGAATGCACATTGAATTTTATTGAATTATACATGTTTTGTTTTTAAAACTAGGACAAACACATCATTTTTGAGAAATTTATCATAGTTATGCGTATTTGTCATCTATTCTCAAGGTTACATGGGAGTTTCTCCCAAATTTTTGCACCAATTTCCTCCAAAAATAAAATGAAGTGGTTTGTGCCGTTTCATTCAAATTCAAGAGAAATATGTGCGCTTAATTGTTGATTTTCCAACAACTGTAAGTTTCAAAAATAAAAAATATAAATTGAGTAATTTAGTAAAATTAGGAAGAGGTCCGTTTAAGGGATGTCTGTATAATTTTTAAAATATTTGAGAGATCTATTTTTCAAGTAAAAGTTTAATTTTATTATCAATTGCTCTTAACCCTATATATCAACTTAATTAGCAGCGATCAACATGCGACAATATGTCGACGAACTGTAACTTAAAGCAAAGTCATCCCAAAGTTAATTCGTCATCATGTCCTGTAACTTGTATCCCGTACATGTCTTTATCACTTCATGTTTGATGCCATTATAGATCATAACTAAGCTCCATGGACGCAAAAGATTGTGATATTATCCAAAAGAGAAGACAATGAAGCTATATAGAGTCCAAAAATAGACTATTCATTGAAGAAAGAGATAGAGAAAAGAAAAAAAGAAAAAGAAAAGGAAACCCTAATATTAATGTGTTCCAAAACCTGCAAATATTGTCGGCAAGAAAGAAAACGGAGCAAGTGTATATATACAAGCTAGAGTAGTGGAGCTGACCTATGGGGTTGTCACTATACACTATATACACTTGATATATAAATATGCCTTTCTTGTTACTTTATATTCTCTTTCTTTTTTCTTCTTTTTTATTTTGGTGAGTTTAGTGGACAAGCTATGACCCCTCCATGTGGGTTTAGACAAAGCTTTTAAACAAATAATGTAGGTTTCGCAAACGCTTGTCCTTTTCTTTACCCTTAACTTTTGTTGTACTCTCACATGGAAAAAGCAATTCATTCATCATCATCAACCAAATTTTTTTTGGAGAATAATATATACATACATATATATATATATCAAGATTTTGGTAATTGCTTACGTCTTGGCTGAAGAAAGTGGGAGGCATCATAAGGTTATGGTGTTGGGGTGAGGCTTGACATAGCACATGTTTGCTAATGATTTTTCTGTGGATATATGGTCTCAAAACAGTTCGAAGCTTCATGCACACAAAAGCAACATAAATGAAATTTTATGTGAATATTAGAAAATGGAGAAGTTAAGATGATTAATCTATCTTTTAATTAATGATCTTGCACTGTAAGTTAATAAAGTTAGACTCTTTTATTTGTGTTGAAGTAAAGCATTTCCTTTACCTATATGTATGTTTCATCAGGTTATGATATCTTAACTAATATTGACGATGTACTTTAATTTTTAATAAGTTAAGATTATATGCTCCTTCCAACTTTAATCATAGCAAAATTTTACAACCCTATTTGGCCATATAAATATAAGACAAAGATAGCTGTCGGGATGCTTTTAATTAATTATATACTGGAAACATTTTATTGTGGTTATTAATTTTACCTAACGGCTGAGTTAAAAAATCACACATTTTTTACAAGTTTAAGGATATTAAACAGTCATTCCTTAAAAACTGTAAAATCAGTTAACATTGTCACATAATTAAGACCATAAGGAGTGTGAGAACTTTACAAACATTAAGTAGTCCCGATCATCATCGACAAGTGAAGAAGAAATTCTTTTCAAAATTAATCAAGTGACGATAATCTCTCTCGATTAATAGATTAAGACCGGCGTTGGATCGTATACAGGATTCTTGTTATTTGATCACAACAAAGAAACTCAAAGAAAATTGTGGATAATATACGCATTTTATTAAGTTTTGTCAGACTTAATATATATATTTTTTATTTTTAGGAAACAAGAGTGCATTGCATGTTCTTCTTTCAATTTTACCGAAATTACGTCTCCTCTCTGTTTTGAAAATATACATAAGATTCTCATAAAAATTAAAAAAAAACTATGTAATTATATTAAAATTCAAGAGAAATTGATGCGACTTAATGAAAACATTGCAAATTTTAATAACAAACTGAGAAATCTATATGATTTTAGCAATTTAAGACTTGAAAAAGGTCCGTATGTATCATTAGATTTGTGTAATTTACCCCAATATTTGTTACTATTGATTTTCCATAAAATTATAATTAACGAGGTTATTAATTTATTCGTCAACTTATCACCATTCACTGTTTTTGTCACAATAATAACTTTTATTCTCTAATCCATGTTCCTGAAGGCTATATGATCCTCACCCACTTTATTTTTAATAGGTAGTGTTTGATAAAGGCAGAAATAGTTGCAGATTTGAAGCAAAGCCAATTACTTTGAGCCACCATTATTAATGTATTAATTTGTATGCCACATGCTAAGCACTCATGATTTGATGCTTTGTGGAGCCTCCATGTTCCTATATTTATCATTATATTTTCATGAGTTAGTGCTTCTACATATCCTCACTTCTAATTAATTACAGGTGTGTCTATATATATATATATATATATATAATAACTATAAGCATCTTTGTTTTTTTTTCTTTTTACACTTTTTAATTTCCCAAATCAAGTCCTAATTGGGAAATAATCAATACTTGGCTGTCATGAACTATTAACTGCTTTATTTTTTTTTAAATTAAACGTTCTATTCTGTTCCTTTTATTTTATTAATAGTATATATCGGCATATTATGTGCTTTAAACGTCAAGTGGCATTAATTTATTTTCTTCCTCATCGATTCTTGTTTATATCTCTTTGTAAAAGATAGAGAAATTACTCTTATTTCTTACCAAGATATTATTGATTATTATATCTATTAATCTTAACTTATGTATCATATTCCATGATGCTTTCTTTCCTTCTCTCTGTCTCTCTAGCTTTTTCTTATCTTTGAAGAAAGAAGTTTTGGTGCAAACACATATTTCGCATCTTTAAAAAGCATTTTCACATGAAAAAGCTATTTTCTTAAATATTATATCTAAACATGTATGGTTTTAATATAACTTTTTTTTTTTTTTATAAAATCACAACAAATAAACAATCCGAATTAAAGTTTACATGAATGAAATATGTGTAATTCACGCATGAATACAATTCAGTGTAACTGTTGGAGGCTATTAAGTCTGTTTGATAAGAGAGAGAAATGGATAGGAGGGGAGAGAGGGAGAAATTTTAATAAATTGGATTTCAAAAAATTGGAACAGTGTAGTTAAAAATTTTTATTTTACTTTCTCATACTCTTTTATTATATATGTTCTCTTCATTAAAATTTTATAATCCCGCTTTTTTAATTTTTTTTTTAAAAATTGAACTCATTAAAACTTCTCCTCCCTCTCCTGTCTTCCATTTTCCTTGTTAACAGATTCCTACTTAAGAACTTCAAATTAATTAGTGACCTTTAATTAGATTTAAAAGCCCAGATTTCTTGAAGGGGCTTCTTACCTATTGAATAACTATTTTTTGGCGGTATCCAATTTAATTAAAGTTTTATATAACTAATGAAATGGCTTTTATGTACTATATATGTTGCAATTCGCTTGTCGTTTTCCTCTTGGTGCAAAACCATCCATCAATGAGATAGCTTAAGAGGATAACCACAGAATTCACTGGAAGACAAGAGTAAATTAATTATTGGTCCATACTTAGATAAAAACAACCTAAGAATTGAGGGTTAAATGAGAATATGACTTTCTCAGAAGAAAACATGTGATTGAAAGAAAAGTGAGATCATAAAAGAAGCATAAAACTACACGCATTCTGGGAATAACACTTGTTAATTTTTCTTATTATATCCACTTATCGTTTTCATGATGAATCTGTTTTTCACTTTAGGTGTGATAGTAACATTTGTGTTAGAGAATTAATGACACGAGTTTCATATATCAACAAATCAAAGGAAAATGCGATCGCTAATCACTTTAATTTGTTATTTGCTTCCTAAGCGACATCGATATTGAATATGAAGCTTTGTTAATGCCAATTGCTAAACATTTATTGAACGATACAAGACACCTGTATTTATTTATAATTTTTTAGGAGATTTTAAAGTAGTTAAGATTAAAAACTGTCAATGGCCCACCTCCAAAAAAAAGAGTGACTTTAATTTTACTATTCATCCTTAGCTTTTAAAAGTTGAAATTTCCGGAATAAAAGAAAAAAATAAACTTAGATTTCATCAGAGATGAGTTCGAATGGCTAGCTACTAGCTAGTGTCAATGTTACACATCGCCATCAATATAAATATATAAATATATATATGCATGTTTGTTTGATATAATGAAAATAGTAAAGGAATTTTAGTTGTTAGGGTTTGATGAGAATGGACAAAATGGGTAACTTATAACTTGGGAAGAGCAGAGTGAGAAAGAAGAATAAAAGGGCACATGGGGGATGGTGTTAAAAGCGAAGTGTGGAGCATGTTGCGATGAAAATATGTGGAATGAATGCTTCCATGTGCCTTCACTTCTCTTACGCTTTTAAAGCCTTCGCATAATACCCCCCCCTTTTCCTGTGTTTCATTTTAATGCTCCTCTTAAAAATTATCTATTGAAATTTGTAGTAAAGAATTAATTTTATATTTTACAATACAAATAAATGTGAGAGTAATTATACTTTGCAAAGTATAAAATTTATTAGGGTTAATATTATTGTTAGTCCTTATAATTTGATTGAATCATTATTTTGATCCCTGTAATTTTAAATTATTGGTTTTGGCTTCAATAATTTTATAAGAACTTAGCTTGAATTTAAATATGGGGACTAAAAATAAAAACTTATTAAAAATATAAAGACCATTTATTTAATTCAGACTAAATTCTTATAAAACTAAAAGGATCAAAATCAAAATTTGATCAAATTATAAGAACTAGCAATAACCCAATTCATTATTTTAAGCTAAAATACCGGATGTTAGGGTTCTACATCTGGGTAAAGCTGAAATCGAACCCACAACGTAACTATGCTGGGGGTTCTAAGAATAAGATTTGCATTAGATATATGTATATACATCGAATGTGTGTGAATTCTAATAACTTGTAAGCCATAGAAGCTGCGATTTCTTCTCAGATACTACACCAAAAGGGTGAGTAATCTGGTTGGTTTATGGTTTGTTTTCTTTTTTGTGGGAGAAGCACCGTGGAGGGAAGGGGGGGCAAAGACACATGGGATGTTAGGTCGGTCACGGCGTTAGAGTAATATGAATTTACTATATGTTATGTTGGCGCTTTCGGCGACTTTTAGAATTGGTAACTTATAAAATGCTTCGCAGCTTCAAACACTGATCTCACATACAGCGACCGACCAATGCTGTGTCTCAGATTTCCATTTCATACACACACACACACACACACACACTACATATATACTGCACATGTAGGCATGAAATAACTGTCATTTGGGTTGGTTGACGTTGATGATCTCATGAAATGTTGTAAACAGAAGTGCCATTGATGTGGTTTGTCTTGTAAACAGTACAAACTCCCAGTTCTCAACTAACATTCAAGAATGTTAACCATTTTCATGGTACTATTCCTATTACCCAATCATCGTCAAAATCAAGACCTGCCAATTGACCCGTATCCAATAATGCTTACTGTATCAGATCTTCATTAAAACGAGTTACCTAACCAATCCCCATTTATCCTTTTAACCCACGAATTTTCAAACTACCACCCTCCCCCATTATACTCATGGTCCTCACAAGTGCTTCGCGAACGAATCAGGGGTTGAAATTTTGTAAGAATAAAAACAAATATGTATAAACCCCGAGCAGTTAGGTCAGCTGGTTGGGACTGTCCTAACTTAACCACAGGTCTCGAGTTCGAACTGTGAGAATGCAGCACCCTGAAGGGCCAGAGGGCGCCGACCGAAAGGTTCCTTGCAAGCCCTCGATCCGGATTAGTCTGGAGACGTTGTTACGGCTGAAAGACGCCTATTTTCTTGAGATACCGGAGGAGAAATCCAAAAAAAAAACAAATATGTATATATTTATGGTAATGAACAGGACAAAGATGTTCAAAGGGAAATGCAAACGTCCTGTATTTCATTGTCATGAATTTCTTGTCACGTGTCGGGATAAATTTCAGAATGTTTGTAAAGCTGCAAAACCATATTATTATTATTATTATTCACAGTATTACAGAACAAGAAAGAGGATTAAATTCATGGTGGTGACTGGGGAGTATGGATTCAATCGTACAGATATAGTAAAAATGGGGAGACGGAAGTTTGAAGGTAAGAATGAGAGAATGAATCGGACGGAGAGAAAAACAGATGCCGAAGGGTTATGTACTTTGAACAGAAAGCTTTACTTGCAAGAGACAGAGCAGGAAGAAGATGGGAGGCAAATAATAATAATATTCTTTTAAAAAAATATGACAACTGGCAGATACGCCAAAAGTGTCGTGTCATCAGCTGGGTGGCGCCGAGGAACTCGAGCCGGCGCCGGGAGTAGTTGACCCAGAAAGAAGGTCAGCGAGAGTGCTCATGGCTCGGACTTGCATTTCGAGTGCCGATATGTAATCAATCGCTTCTTCCAATATCACCGGCACCGGTTGTTTCCTGCAACCGGGGACCAGCCGGCCAAGAAACCTCACTTTCCTCTGAACCGTTGGCAAGCTCTTCCCCCTCAGCCGGAGAACGCTCACTCTAGGCTTCTTCGACCGGGCAGGGGAAGCGGCCGCCGCCGTGATTCTCTGTCTCTTGTGCTTCCTGAATTTCAGCTTAAGCCGATTGGTAAGGATGGCTCGGCTCCACCGGGTCTTGCCCTTAGCAGTGACGGCCAGGACTCTATCAGCAGCTTCGCGGACGGCTTTACCGCGGCGGGGCGCGTCGCCGGCTGAGGAACCGGAGGAGCCGAGGTTGACTCTGGCCAAGGCTTGGTGGAGCTTGGAGGAGTAGATTTGTTGCTGAGCCGGCGACTTCCATTTAATATTTTGTTCCTCTAGCTGTTGCTTGAGTTGAGCTTTCTTCTTCTTCCTCCTCTTGGAGGGGTCACGAGACCGGTCCGTGTTTGTCACCGGGTTCGAGATCAGAGACGACGACATTTCAACCCCAAAACACAGGTTCCAAACAGGAAAATTTCGTTTTGTCGCCTGAAAATTCTGGGCGGTGAGAACAAAGAAAAAGGGAAAGCTACGGTTTTGTCAGAGGATGAAGCAGGTGAACGAGGAATCTGAAAAGGGAAAAAAAAACCCCGTAAATCTGAGATTCAAATGGATGGATAGGATTCAAGCAGTAATCAGATATTCAAGTGATTCGAATATGGGAAGTTAAAAAACGCGATGGATTAGGAGAAAGGAAGAGAAATAATCAGTACCTTCGAAGGAGGAGAGGCTGCGATGAATAAATAGGAAGCTGAATGGGCTTCAGATATAATCCAACAGAGAACGAAAGCAGGCGTTTTAGAGAGAGAGAGGAATTGGTGGAGGAGGAAGAGGTTGTGGGGCTGAGGGCTTAGAACGGGACGGAGTGGGTGAGGTGTCCCTTCATATATTAGGAGTTGGGAGGGAGAGAGAAACGGAGGGTGAGGCTTATAAAGAAATCCCAATACCCCACGCATCCATTTCTCTTTCTCCTTTCCCGCATTATATTCTTTTTCTTCCCCTGTATCATTTTCTTTCTTTTAATAAAATCTTGGGTTTTCTTTGGGCCTTTGGGTTCGAAGCCCTTTTCTTTTACCTCACCATCCAACTGTTCACGTTTGGATCCACCATTACTGTTTTTTTTTTTAATGGGGTACAAGAAATTAAATATATATTTTTTGGCCAAGAAAATTATCAGATATATTTTTATTGCTTGCAAATAGTATAAACTAGTATATATTTTATATTGATGTGACTGGCGTTTTGCAATTGTTTTGAGTGGGGGAAAAAAATAATTGAATTAAATTTGGATGGCTCCTTTAAGATTAAAGTATATTTTAAGGCGGACATTGTCCGTCTTCAATCTTCATAATGAGATAATGGTACTGGTAATTAGACCCTTGCGTCTAAGGCTCAGACGCCGGTATCATCAGATTGATTGTAAAACATATTTTAAGGCTAAAAAATAATTTATATTTCATTCATAAAAGCAAATATAAATATTTCATTATTGTATAATATTCTACGAAATGCTTACATTATATGTGCAAAGAAAGAAAGTTATTCTTTTCTTATTATATAATAATTTTAATTTTAATTTCATTAATTTTTAAATTTTCAAAATAACATCTTTATAAATATTTGTTTATTTTTAGTGATTTAGTAAATCAATTATATGTTTCACATGTCAGCAGAGTTTCTATAATATGAATGCCCGAGACCTACCTTACTATGTTTCACTCGTCAAAAAAATTTCTACAGGATTTGATATGCAGCTCCAAGGCTTGCTGCTGAGGAACAGGTCAAGTAATAGTAGGATACTAAAAATAGTAAATGATTATGTGTGGGGGAACTGGGGATGGTAAAACAGGTCCTTGGCTTTGATTGCCATTTTTGGCGCCCAAATTTGACCCATATTTTCATTTTGTGAAACTCTACAGCAAGCACGACTGTATCTGATTGGCATTTACTTCAAGTCTTGTCCGTAAAAATATCTTGCTTTTCGAAATTAATTAATTAAACATTCCAGCTACTAATCAAACGAAAAACCCGTCGCTTCCGGCTACCTTATTGAAAATGCACATAACTTTCAAACAAAAACGAGAAACCGCCAACCAGGTGGGGCGGAAAATGCGACAGGAGATAAATCCTTGGAAAAAATAATAAAATAACTAATAGGTTAGGAAAATAAAAAACAGTGTATATAATATAAATATTTTTTAGGCCAGCGAATATAATATGAATATGTAAGAAGTCGCCATTTATAAATAATACTCCTCCGGTCCTTATTATAAGATCTCATTTGACTTTTTATTTGGTCCTAATTATAAGACCCTAATCCATTTTGTCTATTATATTTATGCATTTTTTTCCAAGATAATCCTTCTAATAATGATAGTTTTAGCCAATATACTTAATTAGCAAGGATATTTTAGAAATGACAACACTTATTTATTATAAATAACTAATTTAACTTACTTCCTTAATCTCCTCAAATAAGTCAATTGGGTCTTATAATTAGGACCGGAGGAGTACTACATCTTATCCTCAATATAAAAATTAGTTTGACATTCAATTTGATTCTAAATATAAGACTTTAATCCACATTATCTGTTTTTCTCAAAATAGTTCTCATAGTAGTTGCATATATTAAATATTTTATCAAATGATAATTCTAACTAATATATATGATTAACAAAGATATTTTAAAGCAAACAACACTTATTTATTACAAATAATTAATCAAACTAATCTTTTTAATCTACTCAAATTAATATTCATTTTTTATATTAAGAACCGGAAGTAGTAAATAATTTGACTAACTTCAAATTTTAGTTTTCTATATAATTCGACAAATGATTCGTTCACTTATAGTTAAAATTTAAATAAGAATATAAAATAGAACAAGTTGCAATAAATACATTAACAGTAAATCCATGAGAAGACATTAAGGGGGATAAGAGGAAGAATAAATCCCTAGTCCACCAGGGAAAAAAACGAGGATGGCATCTAAAGCCCTCCAGCTTCTTCCAATTACACGAATAAATCCACACAATTCAAGTTACTCTTCCAATCCTCAAAACTAGAGGTTGATTTTAATTTTAAATATAAAATCTTAATTTCATTTTATTTTTATACTTATTGTTTCCCCCCAGTAACTAATTTATTTAGCTAATAAATAGATATATAACATAATGTTACATAAAAGTATTTTAATGGGATCATACTTATTAGAATTAAATAATTTATTTAGTTTTATTAATCTATTTAAATTAGTTAAATATCTTTTACATTAAGAATTGGAGTATTTTCCTGATTCAATAATCCATGGTTCATAGCGTTGAGATCAAGAACCTATACAAGTCAATTAAATTGTTGCTTCAACTTGTTAATCCCATCCAGTTTTATGGACCACTATACTATTTTAGCATAAAGCATTTTTCAGTTTTTCTCCCGTTACGTAAAAACAAAAGATAATTAAAAATGTTGTTAAAAAATAAAAACTACTTCCCGTGTACATGTCCCTGTTTTCTTGTCTTGATAGCATCTTGTCTCTAAATATATGTCCTCTTCTAAATTTTGAGGTATAATTGTCACTTATTTTCAATAATATTCTTTAAGAGTAATCAAAATTTAAAATAGTATGGCATTAAATAGAGGACAAAACTGAGAAAGAAAAAATAAACTTTCATATTATGCATATATAGACTTTGCTTTTTTGCATGGTATGTTTTTTACTACGAGAACAGGTAAAGGAAACAGTGAACATATTTGGAAAATATCTAACTTCAGTGTTCTCTTTGAGGTAAAATTGGCGATTAATATGAAAGAGCAGAATATCTTACCCGTCATTCTTGCATACTGCAGCACCACTGCACAGCATGAAAGCTCCACTTCTTTATTCAGTTCCCACACTTCCCAGCTATCATCAATAATAGAAACCACCGTACCCTTCAATTCAAGTACATCTGCAGACGCAGGTGAGATTAATATCTTTTTTTTCTTATCTGTGAAAACAATTCATTTAAAAGATCCTGTAATATCATAAGTTTAGCATAATGTCTACAATTTTGAGAGATAATAAAATTTTAGTATAAATATATTGGTTGGTCAAAAGATATTTGTGTTTGATATGAATGTCAAAGGGGGGAAATTATCAGGATAAAGAATCTGGGGGGAAAAATCTCAGTTCAACTTCATCATTTCTGCATAGGATTATGTAAATTGCATACCATTGACCTCTGTACCAGCAAAATTGATAGTCACACATCACAATGCAATCAAATATGCAAACATAAAAAAAAATTCCAATTACTAATTTACAAGAATCAGTCATCCATACCGAAACCACATGTGCCCCAGGTGATGGCTTGGTATAAATTGGTTCATAACGTCATTTTCAATAATAAAAGCACTCGTCAATATCAATTTAAATTCATCAACAACCTGATATGAATAACGCTTCGAAAACGGTTGCTTTCACAGCTGCAAACAAATTGATTTTTTTTCTTCCTATATCCTGATTTTTTTTATATGATGTTATCTTCAAGTAATTTAATGCATCCATCGAGGCTAACGCATCTTTTAAATTGATAGGGATAATTAAAGGACCCATTTTTAAGCACTATAACGCATGACTTGGGTTTGAATACGCAAGAGTATCTACACAGTGATTAATTAGCAGTAATAATTCATAAATTATATGCTGAAGAAAAGATCAGTTTCTAGATAGCACAAGTAATGCCCCTCAACACACTATTAACTGCATTGTAGTTTTCTTGTATCTCAAATTAATCCATGAACTACACTATAGTGATAAGCAAATAAACCAAGAAATGGAGAGCACCAATGTCTTGTAACATTTTAAAAATATTTTTATATGAAACGACACAAAATAAAATTAAAAACTTCCGATTATTTTCCACAAAATCACGCCTAATAATAGGAAATTACAGCAGGGATATTGAACCGAATTCCTGAAATATATCATTTATGCAGCTTTGTACCTAATGCACGATAAATTCCTAAAATAATAATAGGAAGAATTCTTCCAGCACAAACATTACAAAACAGAACAAAACAAAACATACGAGTTACCAACAAAATTCCCAACAAAACACATAGGAAGAATTCTTAGCAAAGAGATTGAATCAAATAGCTAAAGCATATCATCTATGCAGATCTCCACCTAAATTAAAATATAAAAACAACGCTATTCCGATAAGGAAAGTAGATGCTTTTACACACAAAGTTTAGCAATTTCTGACACAGTTCCGACTCCTGTGCTGCTTTGCATGAGGGATGAGCTATTGGATTTGGATCCCCATTGGACGGAGCTATGTTGTTGGCTCCCACTAATTGATTGAATGAAAGGGGGTCCCACAATTATTTCTTTTCATTCCGTGCAATGATTATAGGGAGGTGATGATCCTCGAAAGAAAAGATAAAACAAGAGGGGATGCATGTGCTGTGAAGACAATTTCTCTGGCACTTTTCTATCCCCGCCCTCTTTTGTATTTTATTGAGTTTTGGATTTTTTCTACCTGTGTTGAGGTGGGGGCAGTTGAAGCTCCACATTTCCTGAAACTGCTCCTAAGTTCCTTGTCCATAAGGTTTTGCTTTTCAATATTTTAATTGAACCTCAATCATTTCATTATCAAACGGATGATGACTATGACTCCACGACCCAGGGAATGGTTAACCCTTTATCTGTTATTTATATTTGATTTCAGCTACCAGCTTCTAGGGATGAAGCTCAAGGCTGAAGGCACAATAAATATAACAGAAGGTATGCCATATTAAAATAGGTCAAAAAGGCTTTATTTAATTTGTTGAGGAATAAATTTAACTTAAGTTATATCTAGCAACTTAAAGTGAACTCCCCATAAAATAATTTAAAACACCAAGCGAAATAATTCTTGAAGACAACATGTGATTCAGAATTCTACATTTACATCATTTCACCAGTAGAAGGTCGCATACATCAAATGACCAGCAGTCACTTAGCGGGTTTAAAAGTGAAAAGTATAAAAAATAGAAAGCAATATCCAAGTGCCAATGTCATCATGGTTAGCTCAGTTTATGAATAGAATTGTGATAGTCATAAGCCTAATCCCATTCATCGCAAAATCACAATAAATGCGCAAACAGGGATATTCAACAGAGAAAAACCTAACTTAAAATACTTATTGGAAAGCTAAATCACTGTCAGAGACAATGATGTGCCAGAGAGGTTGCCTTCTTTGTGTTAGACACTATAACGTATTGAACATCTAAAAGAAGAAAGGAGAATTTTTAAAAAACAGAAAAGCATGGCACGTGCTGCAGACCAATGGGGAATAATATGGCAAGAAGATATCAAGACAGATCCGAGCCCATTCATATGGATCTGAATCTTGCATATAATGATGATACATATCATGGCTTCTTAGGAATTGGGGTGTGCGCATAGCATAGCAAAATATGAAAGCCTCTAATAATGACCAAGCCCACTGACAGATATAAACCAATTGGAAAACATTGCTCCTAAGGTATCAACAGTTTGGATGCAAAAAATTTAAGTTTCATGTAGATGCATGCATCATCAACTAATCCAGAAAAAGGCTCGTTCTTCTGACAAGTTCTATTTCATATCATATGAAATTAAAAGTAAACAAGTGAGCCTTACCCAAATGAATGAAATAAAATCCAGGCAAAGTCAAATGTACAAAGTGTACAAATAGCAAGAGAATATTGATCAGAAAGCAATTCTTAAACGGTGACGACTCATGTTCCTCGTATTTAGACTGGTGGGTTGACAAAACAGCCAACAGAGTTCGTTCAAAAAGTAATCCTTGCTGACGCAAGTCAATAGAATTAATCCAATCTAAATTTGGACAGATAATTTATAAGATTTGGGTTTAGACTTCAGACATCTTAGAGAACGGCACGGAGGGGAAATCCTCGTCAGGAGAATTACAAATAGGATGCCGGTCAGTAGTCAGTTTAGTTTGATTCACATGACGATCACATTTCATCGATCAACATTACTGCGACGGGCATACAAAATTGAAAGAGTGATTTATTGGGCACAATGATTTGCTCAAATTTTTAATTATAATTTGCTGAAATTTTTAATTATATAGCTTCACAGTTTGACTTTAATGGAAACCGCCGTTCAGGGGGCAGTCTCGTGTTTGGTATCTAGGGCACCAAGGTCTGCAGGGATTGCTAAAACGGCAGCAACCAAATTAATCATTGACCAGAGCAGATTAACAAATAAAAAGGGATTGAGTAGACATATTAGTTTCCTAAAGTCCAGCCCTCCCAGGTTCCAAAGCCGACTAGCAAGAACATCAAGCAGCATGGACCAAGCTGGCAGTGTTGCATTATGAGTCAGGAAGTGAGGTGTCAAGAAAGCGACGTAGAAGATGGGCTGCTTTCATTAAGATCAATTGTTCTCATCTCCGCTTTAAAAAAAAAAAAACCAATAGTCATCTACTAGAGGTTTTTTTTTTTTTTTTTTAAGGTGAACTAGAAGTCAACAATTTTAATCGGTTCAACCATTATATATTCATGATCATAATTTATATAGTAAATTAAAAATAATAATGTTCACATTAAAAAGAAGTCTGATAGATTTATTTAATTTTTATGATATCTTGGTAAGCGCCTCATCCCAAAGGGGCACAAGAATGGGAAAACGAGGCATCAGGAAAGAATCCCCACCAGGAACAATTATATTCATCTATGAATCAATATTTATCCTTTCATGGATCAATCGTGAAGAATCCCCACCCCGGGCCCAAAATTCCCAACTGAAGTTTTTTTTTTTTTTAAAAAATATATCATATGATAAATTAAAATAATAATCAAATGAAATAGTATTGTATGATATTAATAATACAACCTTTTATTTATAATCAAAGAAACTTCTTTAAAACTCATCGTATATGATTTTTCTAAGTTTATGATTTATTGTAATTTGCATATATCAATGCTAATCAATAGAATGGGAATGACTCATGGCAAGAAGGCCCAATCCTGTCCCTACATGTCATTACTGGACATGAGCTCTTTTTCTTGCTTTTAACAACTGGACTTGAGCTTTTTAATGTCAAGTTCGTCATATTTCTTTCTTTCGCCCCAACCCCCCACGCGAGAAAATTCATGGCCTCTATATTAAGTGCAAAAGTTTAACAAAAAGGGCTGATCCTCGCAACATAGTGAATCAAGTTCAAATCCTTCATCAAACATCTTCCCAATCATAACTATGCTGTTTTAAGAATCGTTCCTAATGAGTTATAAAAACAGAGCTGCTGTTTAATATAGTTCTACTTAGTTGGCTCCTGATGTTCATTTTTGCTTGTTTGGCGCTACAACAATTAATGTATCACGAGCATTATCTAAGAGGAAGATCATGCTTAATGTGGCCAAAGATGAACATAGCTGTTCATCCCAGAACAGGTCAACAGACTGAGAATAAGACAGCCCCAGATGAGATGTAGACAAAAAGCAGAATGAATTGTGTCTAGGTTATATCTATTAATAGATATAAAAGCAGAAGGAATTGAATCAAAGCCTAACCTAACGACTAAAATGTGGTCATGAGCAAAAGTGAACTTTCCCTGGGTTGTAGCCACGGTTCGAGGTTTCTTTGCATCAGTCATAGGATGTTCGATTATCTTAAACTTTGATACGTTTGAAATTTAAAATACGTAACTGTTTTTCATTTTCTGGTTTAAATACAGTGTTGCCATTATCACCACTTATTGGTAAAGGGGATAGTTATATATTCAGGTGCATGTTTATTGTTCATTGATGATGAGAAGAGAAAATCGAACTGACAGCGGATAGTTTCTCACCGAAAGTTAATCATTTCTTTTTTTCCTTTTCCTCAAACTCATTAAAGAATTTAATCCCTTTGCTCGTGCACTAAATGGAATTCGGATTATATTTCTTTCACTTCCAAGTTTTTCCCAATTTTGCCTCACACAAGATTTACTTGTCTGGGTATAGCTCTAAAATTAACATAGACATAGGGTAGAAGAGTATCTAGCAATAAAATTATCTACTTGACACAAGCCTATTGGAGATGGCACTACAAAATTCCAAAACAATTGATTGTTCTCCAGCTACATTTTAAACTAGAAAAGTAGCAACTAGCAGAACGTTCTTCGTGATAAGTATTTTCTTCACGTCTATTTTAGACAAGCATGACAACCAGCAGGGACAACAAACATGCGGCATGAAACAAGCAGAACCACGATGCTTATGCACCATTCCAAATCAATATTCTTGACAGTTGACACCATTAGAGTCGGAGATGCCAGATGAAGGCAATTGGCAGTGCAGTGACTATGCAGTGACTATGATTTGATAATTGAAGTATTATCTGAGAGAACGATTTTATAATGCTATCTGTCATAGAAATGCAGCACAAACCATACGCAATAACTATTATTTCTCAAGATAACAAGAAGCATGTGATGCAGATGACCTTTAAAATACAGCACTAATTAGCTCAATCAGCAATCATACAGTTCCATAAAGACCAGTCAAAGTATCCAGATGTAAAACAGAGCACTGTATCAGCTGGTTCAGCTTAGAATTTTAAACCATCCAATAAAAGACTTCATATATATTTAGAGTCGTGAAAGAAAATCTTACCTCTTGACCTGAATTAAGTAGGCAATGGTCCACCGAAAGAGCAATGACTATCTGAAGTCAGGAAAATCACCGCTGATACTCCAATAATCCATAACAAGAGAAATAGAAACATGATTCGATTTTTGGCAGAAACGACTTCAGCAACGCGATCTTTCTCCTCCGGTACAGTATGTAGCTCTTCCAAGACATAGTTAATTATCTCGTTAATGAGCTTCCTATAATGAGGTGAAGCACTAAGCGAATTGAATACTTCAGATTGAGCTTTTCTGAGAAAATTCTCGACAATCTCTGCCTCCACAGAGGCAAATTTAGGACTAACAAACTCAGAGGCACCTAAACAGTTCACTAAACCTTTTTCTTCAACATCGGTTATCTTCTCTGAAGGTGTCATATCAGATCGAAGCAAATTCACGGAGGATGCTTGTTCAATCCAGGTCTGAGACGAATATGAAGCATTTGACAAACTTGAGAAAAGATGTATAATCAGTTTGACAATATCAATTGACATTTACAGTGCATTTTATATTTCTGGTAATTTGCTTTCCGAATCCAAACAGTACAAGTTGCCTTGTATATAGTTGATTGCCGAAATCTAAGCAAGCACGCTACACCAAAATTTTGGAACAAGAAGGCGGCAGAAAGCCAGAAATACGAGCAAAAGAACAGTATTGAAATGTTACACCGAAATATTTGACGGATAATGATCAAAATGTGATCCGTTAAATGAAGCGATTGCCGTGTACTGGGACTAATATGCTTTTTTCGAAAAAGAAAAAAGGCATAAAAAGACAATGAAAGGCAACAAAGACGCGATATCAATATCACCTCTGTAAGTTCTCCATCGCCATCCGCGTGTGAGATCTCAGAGATCGGTGCAGAACTCTCTGAATCCTTAGATGCTTCAGATGCATCTTCAGAAACGGGTATGAATGCCGCATTCATGCTCTTCTTTGTGATCTAACGCACGGAAAGCAATTAAGATGTAAGAAATCAAGTCATGGAATGGAAGGGTAAAGTAAGAAAATAGGGTTCAGAAATCGCGCTATGCCTTGTTAAATTTGTTCGATGAGTCTTTCGATCTGCGATTGACATTCTCTGCGGAACGAACTGGGAGTCTTGCGTTCTCTTTCATTGGCGGGAGATATTTTGATATTTCAAAAAATGGGACTGGTATTTATAGCGCAAAGTGAAAAAAGGCGCATATGTGAAGGCGGTCAGTTATCAAGCACTCACGACGTCGTTCCGTTGGAAGTAAACCGGCAAGCCGTAGAACCTTCTACTTTGTTCCCAATGCCCACGTAAAATTGGATTGGATATTTCTATAGAGAAGCCCATTTCATGGAGCGGGCTGGAATCGTGGGCATGTCCAATACGATCGAATATCACCATTGAATAGTAGCCACCAAGGGGGAAAAAAAACTTAAATCTTCAAAAAATAATTCCATCTAACTGAATTAAATTCAAATTAAATCTGACAATGTTTTAATAATTAATAATACACCAATGTCCCTTGGTTATGGTGTACCCAAGAACAAATTAAATGCAAGACAAATAAAAGGAACAATAAAAATAAATTAAAAGAGGATTATGATATTTAATTTAATAATTAAAGACGAGGGGGTTTGAATTTTCAGAGTAAAGTGTATGTAGAAGCGTAATACGTGCGTATGGCACTAGTTGAAATTCTTATCTGTTATACTGCTCAGCGTCAACGTATATAGTATATCACACCCATTCCTTACACGTCATTGATTAGATTAATTAGCCGTAAGTATAACTTTCGATGCAATATGCCAAAAACGTTTTGCACTGGCCGTGGAATAAATTATTATTACATTGATCATGTCACACTAAATATCTATATGTATCGATTTATAAATATTTACATTTTTGTCAAAAAAATTCTTTTCTAAATGAATCTTATCTTAAATTTCACTTTCATATTATCACTTTATTATTTTATTACTTAATATTTATTCCAAGTTTTATTGCGTCATTTAGATTTAATTTGGAAATCACTACCTCCGATCTTAATTATAAGAGCTAATTGGCTAATTTGAGAAAATTAAAAAAAAAGTTAAGTTAGTTATTTGTAATAAATAGATATTGTCTTTCTTAAAATATCCTTACTAATCAAGTGTATTGGCTAGAACTACCATTATTAGAAGGACTACCTTGGAAAAAAAAAGCACAAATATGAGAGACAAAGTGAATTGAGGTCCTATATTTAGGATCAAAATAAAAATCAAACAAGATCTTATATTAAAGACCGGAGATAGCACTTAAGTCAAGTTCTTTATGTTTATCATGTCAAGTTCTTTGATAATGCATGGTTATGTGTCACATTTTATTCATATGAGTTTATAATTAAATGATAAAACAAAAAAAGAAGACATGACTATACATGTGTAATTAGAAAACTTAATATGTTGAATATAATGAAATTGATGTAAGTATTGTCTATTTAATTTATTTAATTTTATGTTCTATGTTCATCTCTTAATTTTAATTGGACCTATATTTAATATACTCTTTTATTTTTCAGTCAAAAAGAATCTTAGTTTTGAGTTTTTTTGTTGCCGAGAGTATCTTCTCATATGAATAGTGAGAAACTAATTTCTCGGAATACTATTAGGCACCCCAAAAATGTTTTTCTCCATATGCATCGTTGCAAAGATCAAACCTGAAATATAACGCTTAAGGTGCCTAAGTTCCTACTATTTAAATCAACACTCGTTAAAAATAATATAACTGCTTGATAAGGAGATATTACGCACAATCAAGCTTGCCGGTCAGGTGTGGATCAGATCAGCGTATGGGAAAGAGGTTCAACAACTATGCAGCATGTATATATGTATACCATGTTAAAATATGTCTCAAATTATTCAATTTTATATTCTTCTAATCTTAAATATAAGACTCATTTTATATTGTACTATAAAATAAATCTTATAGTTAGGACAGGAGGAATATGAGATTTTATTTTAGCCACTTAGTTTTTTAAAGTATCTTTTTATTTTAGTTTTCTAAAGTATCTTTTTATTTCTCTAATCATAATAATATAAAAAAAATTCTGATGTTGAGGTTTTAAATGTTAAGAAAACAATTTTAGATATTAACATGCATATTAATTAAGTTCACTTTAAAAAATAACAATAATTGCAACAAAAAATTATCATTTATGGTATCGGTGGTGTCCAAGTTAAAAAACCGAGTAGATTAGAAAACGGGAAATGTATTTTATAAAATTAACCCAAAAAAAATCAAATCAAAGCATTGCATGAAAAATAAATATTAAATAACCAAATGTGGACTTTTATACTATCTCCGGTCCTAATTATAAGACTCAGTTGACTAATTTGAGGAGATTAAGGAAAGAAGTTAAGCTAGTTATTTGTAATAAATAGATAGTGTCTTTCCTAAAATATCCTTGCTAATTAATTATATTGGTTAGGACTACAATTATTACATGGATTATCTTAAAAAAATACATAAATATAAGAGATACTACTAAAATGGATTGGGATCTTATAATAAGACTAAAATAAAAGTCAAATAGAATTTTATATTAAGAAGGTAGTACGTATCATTATCATCCACCCAATAGCCTCATACTAAGGTTTCCCCGCCCCAAAAAAGAAAAAAGCGCGGTCAACTAGTCACAGTGACTTGATTTGCAAATATCCCGTATTATTCTCTGACTTGAAGGGCCCATATCAAATGAAAACCCTCGGCCTATAATGATTCCATGATTGAACATATACTATGAGATTCCCTGATATGATTAGGGATCATAATCATAGCTTGGCGATAATAGTACGGATAGTGGAAAGCCCACTGAGAATGAAGGATAATATACATTACCTCTAATTTTTAATATAACAGCTTGTTTGATTTTTATTTTGATCCTAAATATAAAATCCTGATTCACTTTATCTCTCATATTTATATTTTTTTTTCTAAGATTGTCCTTATAAGAATAGTAGTTCTAACCAATACATTTGATTAGTAAAGATATTTTAGAAAAAATAATACCCATTTATTACAAGTAACTAACTTAACTAATTTTTTTTAATCTACTTAAATTAGTCAACTGGCTCTTATATTATAAGTGCTGTAAGTAGTGTGTAATCTTTCATGCTCTTGCTTTCCTCTCAAGAGATCTGCTGAACACTCAAATTATTGAACAGTCCTCCACATAACCCCTATAAATTGGCAACCTTTGACATTACCTTTTCATCAAATTAATTTGCCGACATCCCTGGTACAGCTCTACTTCCATATCTAACCCTAAATTTTGCTTTTGGATTAGTGTGTGCGCGTGTGTGTGAAATAGTAATTTTTGTTATTTAAGATAAAAAAACTGTATGTGGAAGTTTCCGGCATATGCTTTCGACTAATTGTTCTGTGCAGGTTGTTGCAGAAAGAGACGAGTTTGAGCATCATGATGAGGAACTTATTACCTTCACTTGTGGTGGTGTTGGCCTTGGTTTTCATCCTCATGACTCTGCAAGCTGATGCTGATGATGCAGAACTGAAGCATGACAAAGAACCAAAAGGGCAGCTTATTCTCAACCAAACAGCTTTTGGTCGAAAGGCCAGCGCAGGTGTAGTAGTGATGGTGTTGTAATTTAATTATATACATATATATAACACCATGGTTCTCATTAATTAAAAAGCTTAAATTTTGTTTTAATTATAATTGCAAGTCTTGCTTTTAGAGACCATGCTAATTAATTAATAATGTAACATGACACTAAAGTCGATCTCGCTGTGTTCCAAGACCAAAAGGACTGTCATATATATGATCAAACTCGTGTGTGTGTGTGTGTGCATGCAGTGTGTAATTAATTTTGAAGCGTGCAGGTGGTAAAGATGCAGAAGAGGTTGGTGAAAACAAGAAGAGCTCACAGAGTGGGTACATGACGGATTCAGATAACGGAGGAAGCGATGATAATAACGCTGCACTCCATCTTAACAGTCATCACTACTTCACTGATCCTCGCAAATTACCTCCACGCAATTGATGAAATCATGATACTCTTCTGATCCTAAATGTAAGATTTATTTTATAGTGTAAATTATACTATAAAATAAGTTTTATATTTAGGATCAAAAGAATATATCCAATAATGAACTTATTATATATGTGAAGAGCTATATTATTATTAGATAGTGTTTGAAATTCTGATCAAACAAACTAGTGGATTTGTGCAAAAGCTCTAAAGAATTTCAAAGGGCTTCTAATACTAGAAGGAGTTCAACCTTGGTATAGCTCTTCATATAAATTAATTACCCTGATATAAATATGGCGTGTTGCATGCATGCAACTATATATGTATATGCGTGTGTACTAATAAATAAAGTGTGGAACCAGCAGCATGTTTGTGTAATTTATGTTTTATATGAATAATCTGTAAGGGCGCTTCAACATGATTAAGCTGTCTACAATGTTCAAGTAGTGCTAATTAATTGTTTCGGCTGGGTCATGGCAAGCCAATTAAGTTAACTCTTATTCTCATGATCTGTATAGGTCGATCCTTACACACACACACACTCACTTGTTTGTGAGCTACCTGCTATGGCAGAGGTCACACACACACACACACACACACACACACTCACTAGTTTGTGAGCTACCTGCTATGGCAGAGCTTATTGGTTTTATATATAGAGGCGATGAATCTTGTTACTAGAGGCTGTGATAGTGAACATGGGTTTAGTTGATTAATATGATATCAGATTACTTGTGCAGAGGGATTGGCAGGTGATGTTTTGTCATGATCTTCGTAGGGAAGTCATATCCCTTGCTGGTGATTTAGTTAAACTTTCTCATATGCTTAATATTACATCCGGTCCTATATAAGAGCTATTTGACAAATTTGAAGAGATTAAGAAAGTAGGTTAAGTTAGTTATTTGTAATAAACAGGTATTGTCTTTCCTAAAATATTCTTGTTAATTAAGTATATTAGCTAGAATTACTATTATCAGAAGGACAACCTTGAAAAAAATACTCCTTCGGTTCTAAATATAAGACCCCTTTTGTAGTGCAATTATCCCTTTTGTAGTACAAATTGCATTACAAAAGGAGTCTTATATGT